GTCCTCATTTGGCAAAGGTTCAACGGCGCGATGGCTGCCTCAATCATATGATGTGTCTGTCAATTCCCTGCTGAATTACATCCCTTCAAATAAACTGATGATAAACACCCGACTGAACAAATACACATGGTCTGCATCTCCCCTGCCTCACCGACGTGCTGCATCCTGGAGACTGGCTTCTGCAGGCCGGAACGTGGGGACGAGCATCCTACGTATATATTGGCAGTGTTTCTGGCGCCAGTGATGAAAGATGGGATGCACCATAACTCAAGGTTCCTGTAGAACATGGACCATTGGCGTTTTCTGTTTGTTGGATGGGTTATGTGTCACTTGCTGAGTTGACGTAAAGGTTATTCCTCACTTCGGATCACAGAGTGACTGTATGTCACGTACAGGACAAAACATCGTCACTTCCGGAAGACCCTGGACGGTGTGTCTGTTGTCTATATGTTATGTCTTATTTGACACCTACAACACTTCAGATCACAGAAGGGCTCAATGTCACGTCCAGGACAAAGTATGGTCACTTCCGGAAGAACCTGGACGGTTTGTCTTTAGTCTATATGTTATGTCTTATTTGACACCTACAACACTACAGATCACAGAAGGGCTCAATGTCACGTACAGGACAAAGTATGGTCACTTCCGGAAGGACCTGGACGGTTTGTCTTTACATGTTAGTCTGTATGTTATGTCTTATTTGACACCTACAACACTTTAGATCACAGAAGGGCTCAATGTCACGTACAGGACAAAGCATCGTCATTTCCGGAAGAAACTGGACGGTTTGTCTTTAGTCTGTATGTTATGTCTTATTTGACACCTCGGCATTTAACGTAAAGCTTATTGTTCACGAAATGACACAGAAGGACTCTATGTCACCTACAGGAAACAACATCGCCACTTCCTGTAGAACATGGGCGGTTTAAAGGTGTATTTTGTCTATGTGTCAAGTGTAACTTGTCACATCAACGATTCAAGGTCATTCGTCACGACACGGCACAGTGGTCGGCACGCCCTGTAGAACATGGGCGGTTTAAAGGCGTACTCTGTCTGTATGGTGTGTTATTGGTCACATCAGCGGTTCAAGGTCATTCGCCACGACTCGGCGCCGAATGACTGAATGTCACACACAAGGCAGAACACTGTCACTGTCTGAAGAACATGAAAGGCTTGAAAGTAACTTTGTGACATGCTTTTCGCCACATACTCTGGCTGATGCACGTCACCGTATTTGCATGGATCAATGCTCGTGATGTCAATCACTGGATTGTCTGGTCCAGACTCGATTATTTTTACAGACCGCCGTCATATAGCTGGAATGTGCGGCGTTAAGCAACAAACAAACACTACAAATTACAGAGGGACACGTACATGACTTTGACACTTTGACACATTCATGAACTGCTTGAAGTGTTTGTTTTTTTAAATCTTTTAAAAAAAAAAAAACTGGTTTGTTCCCGAAACATTTTTGGGGAAATAATTTGTCCTTACGTTTTACACACAAAATCACTCACTCACTGCGCATGCTGAACGTTCAGAAAAAATGTTTTGTGGTTCATAAAATACCTTGACACTCCCTTCCAGCGAATACAAATTATCACATGTTTTTAGTAAGTTTAAGACATTATCATAGAGAATATCCGTTGTTTTAAGCTTTTAAGGACACATCCTTGGCATGAATAAGTTTACACATTGTGTGTTTAACTTCCGAATGAATTCATTATCATGTTCATGTGTTCATTAATATGAGCACGTTAATTCTCTTGCCGCCTTATGCAACTAGAGCTTTTGGCGATGATAATGTTGGACTATTGTTCGTTTATACTATGAAACGTGATTTGTTCAAGACATATTACTTTCTGGACGATTTTGAACATTTAACTTTCTGTTCTTCTTGAAAGGGAGTGAGTGAGTATGGCTTTACGCCGCTTTTAGCAATATTCCAGCAATATCACGTCGGGGGTCACCAGATCTTCTTGAAAGAGTGTCAAGATAACTAGAATACGATGTTATTTATTATCACGCGTAAGTTCGGTTAAATCTCATGAATAGTCGTTTGCCAGTAGAGGATGTCATTTCCGTTCATCTTTTTGTATTTACTTTGATCTACGCGCTTGTCGTCACTGCTTGCAGATGAGAAGAGATTCAAAGGCGCTTTCAGTCTCGACTGAAATACCAAACAACTGTCAAAATAAGCATTTTTTTCTTAAACGCTCTTCGTCACTGCTTGAAGTTTTCAAACCGAAAACAGCTCTGTCAATACACATACGTCTAGAAATGCTTACGAGCACGTTTGCTTCCGTGAAGGCTGACCACATGTAGTGTAATAAATACGCTGTTTAGTTTGGGTTTGGGACATAAAGTCACTAATTATTTTATTATTAGCTGCCTTGCCATCTACTAAGAGTCGATCATTTGAATTTCGGGGGTGGTGTGGGTGGGTGGGGGGGTGGGGGGGGCTTGGAGGGGGGGGGCATCGGGGGTGTAGGATTTGATTTATCGAAAGGTCGGCCCCTAATGCATACACGGAGGAGTTATATTATTCCTTATCTCCTGGTAATTGACACAAGATTTATTCCACATGTTTAATGTATTATCTTGATATTGTGTGGCACGCGAAAGCTCGATTTGCAAGTTATCACTTAGAACGCCCTCTCATGTAGATTTACAAGTAAGCTTATTTACAATTAATATGTTATGCATAGTTTTTGTCAATTTCCAAATATGCGCAAAATCACAAAACTTCTATTGTATGACAATAATATTTCTACTGTTAAGAATGAGAGCGAGATTTCTACCACGGATGTTCACGGGTCTACTGGTTAATGTACTGTGTTACGCGTCATAACGGTAACGCATGAACATGTGGATTTGCATAGGATTTGTATGACAAAACCTCTCATTTTAAAATTACAAAAAACGCTTAAAATCTATTTCATTCATTATATTGTAGTTTTTTTTAGAGGTAGGCTGGTCTGCGATGAAAAGAAAAAAACGAAATGTGTTATGAGTCATCATCATTGAAGAGACATGTCCGGTTCAGAAACGCTGGGTGGGAGTTTTGTCATCGTCAGAATGACCAAGCAGAAGCTAGTGTGGTATTTACACTTCTGTACAAAGTAAACCATATTATTTTGGTCTCGTCTCACTGAAAAAACCGTAGAGTAAATATTTTATAAACAATGCTCTTCTCACCCCTTTTCAGATCTAACATCCCATTCTCACCCCTTCTCATATCTAACATCCCATTCTCATCCCTTTTCAGATCTAACATCCATTTCTCATCCCTTTTCAGATCTAACATCCCATTCTCACACCTTCTCAGATCTAACATCCCATTCCCACCCCTACTCAGATCTAACATCCCATTCTCACCCCTACTCAGATCTAACATCACATTCTCACCCCTTCTCAGATCTAACATCCAATTCTCACCCCCTTTCAGATCTAACATCCCATTCTCACACCTTCTCAGATCTAACATCCCATTCTCACACCTTCTCAGATCTAACATCCAATTCTCATCCCTTCTCAGATCTAACATCCCATTCTCATGCCTTCTCAGATCTAACATCCCATTCTCACCCCTTCTCAGATCTAACATCCCATTCTCACTCCTTCTCAGATCTAACATCCCATTCTCACACCTTCTCAGATCTCGCATTCCCTTTAGAGATCTAACATCCCATTCTCATCCCTTCTCAGATCTAACATCCCATTCTCACCCCTTCTCAGATCTAACATCCCATTCTCACACCTTCTCAGATCTAACATCCCATTCTCACCCCTTTTCAGATATAACATCCCATTCTCACTCCTTCTCAGATCTAACATCCCATTCTCACACCTTCTCAGATCTAACATCCCATTCTCACACCTTCTCAGATCTAACATCCCATTCTCACCCCTTCTCAGATCTAACATCCCATTCTCACCCCTTCTCAGATCTAACATCCCATTCTCACACCTTCTCAGATCAAGCATCCCATTCTGACATTTCACTCTTCCAGCATCCCATTTTCATCCCTTGTCAGCTCTAACATCCCGTTCTCAGTCTCAGTTCTAGCCTGAATTAGGCGTCTCTAGTGACTCCCTTAAATCATTACAGTTAAGAAACCATGCGTCTTTATATGAAGGGAACGTAAGCTATATATGGATCTTGAGTGGGCTGTTGTTGAACTGGTTGAGTGAGTGAGTGAGTGAGTCATTGTTGTTTAACACAGAATATCACGTGGTACAGGTGACCGAGTCTGGACAAATGTGATTGAATGTACGAGCAACATTCCAGGGGTCACAATGACATTTAGGCCACACATCGTAGCCCACTGATTCCCAGTGTGCTCTACAGCATGATGTACTGGGGACCTATTCTAGTGTGAACATAATGAGTGTATTGGCGATGGAGAGCATCAAATGACTATATACATTTACAGTATGTTTTTAAGCGACAGACGTGTATGTCAAGTATTTACCAAAAAGTAAGTAAACAATTTTATTTCAGAGACAAAGTGTAAGGGCACATGGCGATGAACTATACAACCGAATTATTTAATTTCAATACAGTTTACATCCTAGAGATTGGTCGTGGCCATGAAATGACGCCAGTTTAGGCTTGCCAGCCTGAAGGTACAAACTGAAGTGGGTAGGAATGTGCATTGCTGCACCGCACGGGATCCGCAGCCCATCACACACGGGCTAATTCGCAGGAAACGGCGAAGGGGGAGAGGGGGGATACCGCCCCGGGACCGTCTCGAGTGTCATGACAGAAACTGACCCCATGCCCTTGTTACCATGCCAACAGATCTATCTCGGCGTTCCCTTTTTTTAAATTTACTTAACTCCATTAACCAAACTGAATATTCACGACAAGAAACACATCGCACCAGAATGACCCATGGTCTCAACGCCATTGGAATAAGTTGGTCCGGCTGAGTGCCGCCGCCGTTCTGGGCATGGCGTGTAATGTCACTAGTTAATTCCAAGTGTGATGGACCTACCTTTGTTCCGGCTGTATGTCGTATTTCTCTCTGTGCATCATGTTGACGAGAATTCAGGTAAAATCCACTGAAGTGTACTGTTGAATGTGTGACTGCCAGATCCCGTCACTCCGCGAACATATTTAGACCTATACCTATATAACGCGCTTTCCGGGCGGCTGCTAGGCAAGACGGACTGCGCATGCTCCGATGATGCTGTGTTTACAGTGGTATACTTATCGCTTTGAATTTTCGAACGCTGTTGTGATTTTTTAGTCTTCCCGTTAGCACATTTATTACAAAGGGGTGAAATGAATTTGTTATATCTATAACAGAGCAAAGTATGTTGGTTTGTTTTTCGTTAGTTTTGTTATTGTTTTAGACTAAATTGTAGTCTCTGAAAATGAACTATTTAAATTATAGTTATTAAACATAATAAAAAGGAGCCCAGACATGATACTGCTGTACTTTAGACTTGCCAAATATTATAGACTTGCAAAGAAATATATGTTTCAGGGTCTGTCTAATAAACTAGTATGTTTATGTAGTTTCAAATGCTTTTCAATTTCATTCATTGAAACGTTGAGAAAAACATAATTCATAATCTGATAACGTTAATTGAACACCCATATCAGTCTTTGTCGCCTAAAGCGTTATATTGAGGTATCCGCACATCCCACTGAGACAGTCCCTGTGTTTCTCTGTGTGATGTTACGCTACCGTATGTTGATGTAAACTTCACAAATGTGACGACCAGCTGGCAGCGGGGTCGTATCAAAAATACTTTATACGGTTTTTTTCAATAACATAACGATTCCTTTTTTAATTATTTTTTTTGGCTAAGCATATATTAATGTTGTTTTATTTATTGTATTCGTACACAATAATTGTTGAAAAAGTGTATATTTAAGCCATGATGCGCTGGCTTTGATTGGTGTTCATCCCTCGAAAAGCAAACCATTGATGAACACATCTCTGTGTAGACATGTCGCTATATCGAGGTAGAACTCAACGATTGTTGAAAATGGCTATTGAGATTTACCCCAGACAGAACACGAACTGATCGTGGGATGGATGGCTTGTTGTTTTACGCCGCTTTTAGCAATATTCCAGCAATATCACGGCGGCGGACACCAGAAATGGGCTTCACATATTGTACCCATGTCGGGAATCGAACCTGGGCCTTCGGCGTGACAAACGACCGCTTTAACCACTAGGCCACCCCACCGCCTCCTCACCAACAGGAAGTGCTTGTAGTAACTGAGTGATCAATCTCAAAGCGAGGGACACCAGAAATGGGCTTCAGAGATTTACCAATGTAGGGAATCGAACCTGGGCCTTCGGCGTGACAAACAAACGCTTTAACCACTAGGCTACCCGACCGCCTCCTCACCAACAGGAAGTGCTTGTAGTAAGTGAGTGATCAATCTCAAAGCGAGGGACACCAGAAATGGGCTTCAGAGATTTACCAATGTAGGGAGTCGAACCTGGGCTCTTCGGCGTGACGTGCTAGCACCTTAACCACTAAAGAGTGAATAACACGGCTCCCACTTAGCCGACTTGACAAAACAAAGGTCCTTTAAACTATTGACTAACAATTTCATAAATGACATGTCAATGCTCCATTTCATTACCTCCCTCCGCCAAAAGCTGACAAACTCTCATAGCAGGTCTCTTCAAGGGAACGTTCTATTCAGCCAGTCAGCGTTGAGGCTTCTAAATTCACATAACAAGCGAGCGAAGCGTTTGGCGTATCCTTTCGATGAAGTAATGAATGCCACGCTATATCTGCTGGGGAAGGTAGTCATCCCATAGTTTCCGAGACCCATGGCATATACACCCAAAAGGGTTGGCTGCCGAGGGAACGCTCAGGCTACGTTTTGTACGGGTTTGTCGGATCCTGATTAGCAAATGATCTGATTGTATTGAGATTGCAGTGTATTGAGTTATATCACGGAATGTCAGCTTACTGGAAGGAAAAGGGAAAACAGACAGTAGACATCTACAACGTTTTAAACCAACAGGAATGGGTATGGTGCTGACGTTTTGTTTGTTTGTTGTCTAACGCCGCACTCAGCAATAGCACTATTCCAGGTATATGACGGCGGTCTGTAAACAATCGAGTCGGGACCAGACAATCCAGTGATTGCAGTCATGAGCATCGACTCAGTTACCCGGCTGCGGTAGTACATGACGCCGTTCCCTGACAACCGGGCGTCTCGTTATTTTGGAATCGTCCTAAAAAACAGGCGTTGATTCTAAGCTGCCGTTCATTCTTTCCAGATAATTGTGTCATGTTTTTTTCCTTATCAATGTTTAAAGGAAACAGAGTTTCGTCATGAATTTATTCAAGGCATGTGTATATTAAAAATTTGAATTGTGCTTATTCAGTTGTATATGGATATATATAGATCGTATCATGGGATTCGCTCATTCACTCGGACAGCATGCTGTACTGGATTAATCTTTGTAATTGTGCTTATTCAATTTTATATGTATATACATGTATATAGATCGTATCATGGGATTCACTCATTCACTCGGACAGCATGCTGTACTGGATTAATCTTTGTAATTGTGCTTATTCAATTTTATATTTATATACATATATATAGAACGTATCATGGGATTCACTCATTCACTCGGACAGCATGCTGTACTGGATTAATCTTTCTTGAGGTGGTAATTCCTCCAACTGTTTTTTCTACGGTCCCCGAGGCGTGGATGTCTCCACAGTGTTCCCGGCATGATGGGTTGGGTGTAGGAAACGCGCAGCAGAATGTCGCCCTGCGTTTGACTCATGTTTTACTCCGGAATGCGGAGCGGGGAAAGACGTAGCTCCACTGTTAGCACACGAACACTGGTGTGTACCAAGCCTCACCCGACAGGCTGACCCCAGTCGAGCAACTGAATCCCCTCCATCATCAGCGCCGTGGCCTGTCTCGGCCGTCAGTGTTGGACTGCATGGACTGACATGCTGAGTGGTGTGCAAGGGAGGGGTTATTAGGCATGGACTGCCGGTGAGGGGGGGAGGGTGCGTTTATTTTATTTTTGTTTGTTGTTTCGGGTTTGTTGTTTTGTTTTGTTTTGTTTTTGTTTTTTTTGGGGGGGGTGTTTCTGGTTCTGTTTTGCTTGTTTTGATGTTGTTTTGATTTTGTTTGTTTTGTTTTTGTTTTTGGTGTTGTTTTGTTGTTTTGTTTTGGGTTTGTTTTGGTTTTTTTGTTTGGGGGGGGGGGGGGGGGGGGGGGTAGGGGCGTGGAGGGTGGATAATATTGCTAACCTGGAGAACATTGGTGAACATATTATCAACGCTGAGTGATGTTAGGGTAATGGACGCTTTTCGAAAGCCACGACCAATGTCTCGGCTTGCCATTGTGGTTGGATGGAAGCGCTTTGTCGCTTGCGCATTTCTGAAGACAGACTAGTCTTACCACCTCCACCATCGGCATATATTCGTAGCGAGTTTGGGGTTAATTCTGTAGTAGTCTGTCACTGGCCGAAAGGTCATCCCTGACGATTGACAGCAAGAGCAACGAACCATCAGGGTTTCCAGGTCATGTAAGAAAATATAATGCATAGTAATAAGAAATAGACAGAAATAATACGGACTTATAATGTACAGGTAGCGAAAATACATGACCCACAAGGTGAGGTGAGGTGAAATGGGGCTTAGCGTCGCACATATTGCACGTGTGTGCATGTTTCCTTGTACTAGTCCGGACTGATGCCGATTTCATAGTGCTAGCCCACTGAAATACGATGCCGCAGTTTAACATGAATACCCAACTCAGATACAGTATACTGACTCAGAGCCTAGTCTGTCTTACAGACCCTGATACAAATATATCAACTACAGCCCATGCAAGTCTTTAATGTTTGTCAAGTCTAGATTAATGCAGTATCAGTATCTGAAAATGAAGAGAATCACTGGGCTCCCTTTTTATTATATTTTTTATTAAGATAACTGAGCAACTGTTTTTTCTGTACGATATGTTCATTTCAGAGACTATATGTTAGTCTAACTCAGAGCCGACCAGTCCTTGCTTTAGGCTGGGTAACAAACACGAGACAGAAGGAAAACAAGGGGGTATATTGTCAGTTTGTATTAACTGTAAATACAATATGGTCACTCTGCACTTGTGCTCCCACTGGCTTCAAGACAAAGCCACACACGACGTCTTGCAGAGTTCAGTAGACGTCGTTCGATGTCATTCTGTATTCGGTGTCAATCTTCCTTGAGTTCCTGTATTAGTCAGTCTGTTTGGAGGAGGGATCGCCTGACGACCACGGTGGTCCTAGAGGTGTTCAATTGGCGACATGTCAGGCGGGCGAGCTGGGCAATACAAAACGTTGACGGTATTGACCAGCATAAAGTGACGGACGATATACGTGCTGCAGGGCGTTCTCACGTTGAAACAAGAAGTGTGGGCTCTGTTGAAGGAAGTGAAGCACAACTGCATGGATGCAATGCCTCGTCGATGTAACGTTTTGCTGTGAATTTAGCGTTTATTATAACACGGTCCGTCTTTTTCGGATATAATCCGAACGCTGCCAACTCCGCTACAGCGTTATGGAGACGACAAGGAGCGTTCCTCCCGACGATACTACACACGCACTCTACCATCTGCTCTAAAGACCTGGAACCTGCACTCAACAGAACCCAGGACGCTATTGACAGTTCCTGTTCTGCTATCGATGTGCAGTGCGCGCCCACCTAATTCTCTTATGTCGATGTTGACCAGTCGATGCAGTCGTTTGCATATAGTGAAGCGGCTGACAACATGTCCTCGGGTTGTAGATGCTGATGACGTCACAGTCCAGAAGCTGTCAAATGGAGAACATGCAAATACCGATCCTCGTTGGGTGTGTGTGACACGAGGTCTGCCTGTCCTCGGTCTGTCCACTGGTGGTTGTTGAACGAGTGCAACAAAAGCGTCTGGCGAAGGTGTCATGTCTGAATGCCAAATTCAGGATATTAGCTGGCCTTTTTCTGTTCTGCAGATTAAGATGGCATGTTGCTGCAGATTTCTGAACTACAATTTTATCGAATAGTGATCTGATGCATTTCAAAGATTGGTTTTACGGGATTAATAGAAAATTACTGGACAAGTGTCAGAGACCGTACATGGGTTTGAATCCCAGATTCGCCTCGATCATGCTCATCGACCCATCAGCACCATACTCGTGC